AGTACCACCTTACATAACGCTTGTAAGTATGAACGCTCTAGTGTCAACGCGAACGCTTGAGTCAAATTTAATGAAAAGAAAAAATCGAGAAGGATTGGGAGAAAAATTAAAACGAAAGTAAAAGGAAACAAAGGAAAGTAACTGACGAATACACAGGCGCGGGAAGCAGTAAATGCCTAAAACCTCGCTCGAATTTGTCGCGCGGTTTCCCGCACGCGGCAAGCCGCGTGTACGACGTCGCGCGGTGACTGCCCACAGGCCTAATCCTTAGCTCTTGCTTTACAGCCAAACCCCCGAAATGAATTCGATCCTACTGAATGGTTGTTCTTATACTGGTAGGAAAGTGGTATCACAATCACGATATCTTTCGCCTCTAGTCGACCATTTTGCGGACGGACAGACAGACGTGCAAACACACAAACAAACCGACACACCAAACTTCTGGTTTATATAATGTCAGATGCATGGAATCAGAGCTTTACCAGTGCTGGTTCCATGTATCTGACAAGGTAAAGCTCTGATTCCCCAGGTTCGCCGGCACTATATTAAGCAGAGTCTACAGTCTGTGAGTCTGAAACAAACATTTCCATGTGGCATGCTCGCCACATTTGCATCTCACCCACTTCAAGTGAACTCCCTCTAAATATGCTGTTACAGAAGTGCTGCAACCAGAAGGCTCTTTATTACAGGTGCTTCATTATGACGTGACAACAACAGGTTTCACCACGGCATTGCCATATATTCTATCCGCAGCGGTAAAGTTTATCGTGGGACCGATATCTGACCGAGCAACTTGTATTTCTGACAGATGGCGACTTGTGTTCTTCGCTGCCGCCTCACAAGGACTAATGGCGTTGTCATTCCTTGCGCTTGTATTCGTAAGTGCTTCCCATTCGAACTTTCGAAGTATTTCTTATTTCATTGGAATTCTCTCGAAAGTCAATAGTGACAATTACAACACTGCTATGTGATCATTTCATATCCTTTCAAGCCATCCACCATGTACAGGTTGGGTCAAAACTATGGCAATCGCGACCATGGTTCTGTTGCGCGAACTCGAATCCGCCTTTTCCCCGATCTCATTTTCTTCTTCTTCACTGTGCATAATGTAATGGGGTTCAGTGTTTCCGTTCTAGAAACCAAGTATAATGCATAACTCAAAGGTGGTAACCAACGACATCGTAGATGTGGTGAATGAGCGACAACCTGATGGATTGAGACCTGATGAACAAGGTGGCCATTTCTCAGTTTTAAGCAAAGTCAGGCGCTGGAGCTAGCACCACACCTGAATTATTTATAGTTCTACCGGATTGAAGCGCTGTCCTGCTAGAAAGCACCCCTGGTTTCAAGTGGTAGTCGGGCCGAGCCTTCATTAATTCATCCTTTTACATCAGTTGTCGGGTTTCTTGATCTCTACAGAAATCGACTCAAGACTAACAGTCTCTCGTCGATGATCGTGGTGCACATTCAAGCCAGTTGGCCGATGTCATAGTTTGCGAATCGAACGTTGCGCCAGCGAATCGAACTTTGCACCAGCGAGTCGAACGATGTACCAGCGACTCAATAGTGGCGGGACCCAACGTTCAAAGGAAGCCCGCCACTTTCAAACAGTGTCACGTGACAGTGGACCCTTTTGAAAGTGGCGGGACTTGACAGTGGACACTGTTTGAAAGTGGCGGGCTTCCTTTGAACGTTGGGTCCCGCCACTATTGAGTCGCTGGTACCATAGTTCGACTCGCTGGTACATCGTTCGATTCGCTGGTGCAAAGTTCGATTCGCTGGTGCAACGTTCGATTCGCTGGCGCAACGCTCGGATCCAGCGATTCGCTAGCGAATCGCTCGATTCGCAAACTATGACATCGGCCATACTGGGCTGAGCGGCTACATGGAAAAGTCACCACGGCGCGGACGTGTTCGCGTATCGCCCACGTCAGAGCGGTGGTGAGCGAGCAAGGGCTAGCTCTGTCACCATTACTTTTATACGTTAAGTAGTTCGAGTATCTATCGCTCTCTTACTTCGCTTCAATAAGCAAAAGTAAGTAAAAATCGAACTCAAGGGACGGACTTGGTTCATTCACTACAACTTGACTGTGTACTCCTGCTGGTTTGCGCATGAAAGCCTCGATTTCCTCTACATTTTCCGAGGAATTCCTGTTCCTGGTGCAGGTGACAATGCTTGTACATAACACAATTATTTCCTCGCAGCTCGACAGATTGGAAAAGTGTCATTTCGATGTCACCAGCACGCACTAGCGTCCGTGCCGCCGGTGAGCTTTTCTCTCCCCCCGGGCTGAGCTTGGTGATCTGCAAACAATCTCGTTTGGTAGCACTGTCAACATTTATAGCCGAATTTAATCGTTTGGCACTCAAAATGCAAATGCACTCAACTGCGAAAAAAGTTCTTTAAGATAGGAACCAAGAACCTCCTCGAGTGGCGATCCATCCTATTATGGACCCTCCTGAACTTGAAACTATATAAAGAAAAGTTCTGTAGTGCCACAAATAGACGACACCTGAGCCACCAGCTCCTACGGTTACCCACACTTAAATCATTTTGGTGATTAGAACATGCCGGCCAGATACACATTCACGACTAATTCCAATTTAACCAATGTAGAGAACGATTATCATACTTGTTTATGTTGGTTCAAAGGGCAGGTTTGGCTGGAACTTGTCGTAGAGGTAAATATTTTAATTCCCTCAGCATGAACATAACAGTTGTTTCCCGCGAAAGCGCCTGCAGTGTATCGCATTGGAAGTTCTCCAGGTACAAGCGACAAAAAAAAGCGTGAGCAGTTCGCCAGCGAGTTGATCCTGCGACCTTTTGCCTATGGATGGGACCATTGTTGCTCTCTTTCTCGCTTCATAGCCCAGCGAAATGTAGCGTTTCTCGAACAGCTTGAGCCAGTTTTGAGCTGAGCCCTCGCATTTAAATGCCCGTGTTTTGTTGTCGTTTTGACAGTTTTCAACCGGGTGCGTTCACCCCCTAGCTATTCCTTGTGGGCATCACCAATGTTCGACCGCCAACGGAATTGAGGTATCCATTGGCTTTATTTTGAACTGTAGACAGCAGAGGTGCTGCACATGAAAAGGACCCACCGACTCAGCTCCTCTTCGCCCCGAGTCTCAGAGGGATCCAGTTATGTACTGCCGTGTTCAAAGTGTTTTCCAGCGATTAATTTCCCATGGCCAACCCACAATCCCAAGAAAAATTCCATTCTAGTGAACGGTATGCAGCTGGTAACTCTCCCAGCTGTAGTCTTTTCTGTGCTTAGTAATGGTACTATTCTCAATTTTTTCATTGAAATTCTGCTTCCATTGACTTCGTTATCTGTTTCAGATAAAGTCCCCCGGTCTGGCCCAGACCGCTTACACCGTTGCCATAGTGTCCAGTGGTATGAATGCAGTCGGAACTATAAAGTGCGCTCAAATGGTATGTTTGTTAAGCTGCATGTATTTCAGCAAGTTGTGTTGAATGGTGACAACCAAGTATTGGCTTATTATAGTCCATAATCCAATCTTTGTGTTCACCATACCTTCAATGACTTCGATTTCAGGTGGCTCGACAACACGTTCATGTTGTAATGGCTGTAACCTCATTTCTACTCTGCGTCATCGTTCTTCTCATTCCAGTCGCCGTTAATATAGTTTGTCCGGATAACTCTCCGGAACAGGTGAGGAGCCTTCGCCTCAGCTGTATAGGTGAATGGGCACCACCTCGGCAGGGTTGTGTTAACGAGCAGACGGTTTCTATTAAAGGACGAATTCACGATGAAAAAGCAACCCATTTCAAATTAACCTAGGGATGGTGAGTGGTACACGAAAGAAGGAAGAACCATGAGAAACGGCCCAGAACCCGAGAAATGGGACCCCTTCCTTGCCCGTTGATTTGAGCATTGATGCGACTCTCATCGCTGTGCCCTCTTCAACACTACGCTCTCTCAGCTATCTAATCACTCGCCACGTATTGAACTGATCAGATGATCGGTGGGCGGAGATCGCCGGACCCGCCAGCTTTGAGGCATGATAGGTCGCCGAGGTCAAATTTTTCCATGCGAATTGCGCGTCAGTTCGCACCCTCAGGAGGTCCGTGGGTCCCTCAACTAGGTCAGTTTCCCTTTCTTCGACCTTCATTCTAATCGTGAATTCCTCCTTTAAGTTGACCGATAAGAAATGTCATCGCGTTTGTGATACTGCTTCTATATTACATATGCATGGATCTTTTTCGGAAGAGCGTTTCGTGGTGCACATCAGTTTGTATTAGATGTAAGGGGATGGCTGCTTCTGAACTCAAAAACCTATTTACAAGATGTTGGGTCCAAAACGTCGCCTACGGGTGTACTTAAAGGCAAACCCCGGGATTAGCCCGACTAGTAGGAGGGATTCCACGAGGGAAATTGTAAGGTCCGTACTACCTGGATCACTCCAGCTTCGTCGCAAAAACTGCGCGGTTAGGGCGCTAAGACCGACGTCATAGTCGGCGACGGAACAAGCGATGGAGCGATCGCGATCGCTCCATCGCTTGTTCCGTCGCCGACTATGACGTCGGTCTAATCCTTACGGGCCAGCAACCATCGACTCCCGTTCCAACGCATCCCACCCACCGCGAGAGGTGGTGAGATCAGCGTGCATTGATGAGAGATCAGCGTGCTCTCTCAAACGACGTGCTCTCTCGCGTATTTTGTCTTCTTTGACCGCCCTTTCTCGCCATCGTACCACATCCGACCCTATTGAAGGTTAAGGCCTTAATTTCAGCGTTCCCAAGGATTTCTCTTGCTTTCCTTTCCACTTTCAGGTCGTTCCGCAGCTAAAAGGCGGACTTTATGACGCTTTTCCGAAGAGATAGTGTGAACATATATAATTCCAACATTTGCGCATGTCATTCGAATAGCCCCAACCTCCACCCCCATTTCTCGAACTGGTTATACTCCCCCCACTCACGGATTCCCTGATGTTTTCGCTAGTGTTCTATGAGGTCACAGAAAAGCAGCGCTCGTCCTCACCAGAAGCCCCTTCCCCCAACTACCTTTACCCTTTTTTGCTCTAGAAAAGCACCTTGTTTGACAAGCTGACGCGCTTGCGCGTCAGGCAAATCGCGCCCGCCAAATAGCCCATGTCCCGTGCGGCGAAAAAGCAGAAACCTGCGCTGTTGTTGATGTGTTAAAGCACCTGGATTACTCCAGCTTCGTCGCAAGAACTGGCGGCTAGGGCGCTAATCCTTACGGGCCGACAACCACCCCCAACCTCCACCCCCATTTCTCGAACTGGCGTCAGGCAAATCGCGCCCGCCAAATAGCCCATGTCCCATGCGGCGAAAAATGCAGAAATCTGCACGTTGCGTCGTAAATGTGCTAAAGTTCGTAGCCCGATTGAGTTTCAATGAGCTTCTCTGTCGCCACCGAAACGCCACATTTGTTTTCTTGCCTGTCTCACCCTTCCATGGATGCAAATACTTGCCTGGTGCCGTCCCTTTAATGTAGTCACCACCTTTGAATAACACTCGCACGTTGGATGGAATTTGAATGCGTACCGTATCTGGAGGACTCCTCCGGTAAAATCATTATTCTATCTCACCCATAAATCACTGGCTTGAGACCACCGCTCACGATAAGAACGAAAAGAACAAAAAATTGCATTTGTTTTGGTAAACAATTCGAAAAACCGGAAGGACTGCTACGCGTTCAAATTCCCGCCGGACATCTGTCACAAATGCTGGCGGTGGAACGCTTCCACTTGGTTCATGGAGTGCTGCCCTAGAAACTCGGTTGACCTTTGACTTTTTCAACTGACATATCATACTACTTCTACTGATCCTAATAAATAAATCGATCATTTTGTCTCTAACCTCCAAACTCGGACGCTTTGACTCGACTTTCCTATGCGTCGCATGATACGTGAACCCACCCCTCCCCCTCCCCCCTACCTAGGAGCACTTTCCGTTAACGTCTTTAACATAGCGCGACTTACCTTCGTCTGTCAATATCACATCTGACATATTTGTTGTGGGTAAGAATGCAAGAAATTCCTGGGGAAGATTTTTCAGAGAAGATATTTCCTTAACTACGTATTATACGTGTTCGTTCTATTCGTTCTATCTTATTCGTTCTATTTTCAGTGGTCGCGTTTGTTTTTCGGAATAAGCGTAATTGTTATTGCGACGAACATTCCTTTTGTCTTTGTCGCTAGAAGCGAACCAGCACCTTGGACAGGAAATAAGGTTGGTGATATACATTTGTCCACGTGACTTCTGCTGACTTCTGCTCAGCGGCTAGCCGTACCAACAGGCAGGTGGAAGATATGCATGCAGAACTGTCCGGACGGGCATAGCATACCTTCTATGAACAACTTTACTCACTTGTTACCATGAATTTAAAACGTTCGACTTTATTTCGACAAAAGTAACAGCGATTTCAGATTCATGCCTTGCCAGAAAAAAGCGAAACGGTCAGAACAGGAGGCGCGAAAAGCAAGGCAACGCAGGAAAGCTGATGAGTACTGAACTCAAACAATTTAATCTGTTTTTGTTGTACAGGCTTTACTGTAAATCAGGAGCTAGCTTGTTTTTATTCGGTTTCTATTAAATAAACTAGATCTGGTTCTGAATCTATTGAATCTACCTGTGAATCTGATCAGGTCTTGTGAGAAACAATAATATTGCAAAGGTTGGATATGAACAAACTACATACAGTGGTAAAAATTTGAAGTTGAATTACGGCCATATAATATTTGCTAGAAAAAAGTGGGTTTGAAATATTTTTGTGTATCAATTCCGTATAAAAATATTCACGACCTCAGTAGAACAGCCTTACTTTGCTATAATCAAACTCAGCAACTTGCGCCACGTCCGGACCATGCACAAATGTACAGCAATTACTCCACAAAACAATTCATTTACTCTGACTACTGAGTGCGCGAAATGCTTGTACTCGGAATTCAAGAAGTGTAGGAGGACTGAGCCCCAGCGCAGCCTCAAATAATTCGAAGCATTCCAAAAAATTTGGATACTTAAAGCTGGATTCGCGAGCAGCAGAAATCTTGTTCAGCTCTGCAATGAACATAACCTGTCAGGGCGCCTTAAGTACGTCGAAAACATCAGGCCATGTTGAAGGAAACGGTAGCGATAGAGGCGGAATATATCGAAGGAGTATATGTGCCATACGAAAAATGTAGCCTGGCTGTCAAGGAAAGGAGGTGCGACGCTTCTACGAAGAGGTGCGCTGGCTTCTAAGCAGTACTTGAGAATCGATCTTTGAGCGCTTCACTAACAAGAGTTCAGTTGGTGATTAGGGCACGCTGTGTTGCCAGCAGCGTCACAACTGTAGCAAGTCGTCTGGAGCACGAAGGAATTCGTCACCAGACGCCTTCTGACAATTCGTCTATGCGTCCGTTGTCCTAGCCGTTGCCCTGAGCGGAAATCAGCTAATGACCAAGGGGGTCTCGTTTTGCGTTTTTCAATGAGTTCCTTGCTTCTTTCATGCGTCCACTGAGCACCCCCACGTTCCCTCTGAACCTCTCCAGAACCTACCTGTAAGTTGTGGAAGTAAATAAGAAGAGATGTCAGAGCTAATTTCAGATTTAGTGCTAGTGTACAGATCCTCCTGCTCTTCTTGTCGAATACATTTCTTCTTATGTCATCAAAGGGATCGAGAGGCTACTAGTCATAGCTTTAGCAAGCAATTTCCATTTATGTTTTTACCAAGTAACACTTCATTTTGAAAACATCGGATATAACACTTCTAAAAATATGTAGTGATGAAGAGAGGTGAGTGACAGCTGTATGGCTGGAACGTTTCATTTATGTTTACCAGTTGGCACTGCACGCGTTGCGCGCACAGCACAGTTCTGCGGCGATATAGGACTTTTGAGCTTCCCTCCTTCCTCCATCGACGGTGTGAATTTTCGAATTTGGCCCAATACACTTCGAATACTTGACTTTCAAGCTGAATTCTATCCGATTGCCCCATGCTTCATCCACCGATGGCTTTTGACCTTCCCTCCTTCCTCCACCAATTGTCCGTAATCGTCAACCAATTGTCCGTTTTTCCCGGCCTCGGACTGCCTCCGGACCGATTTATGAACCTCGTGGTAAACTCCGCCTATTTCTTTGCATGTCCCACCTATCTTTTTCTTCCTCGCCAACCTCTTCCCACTTTTTACCCGATCTCTGAACTATCTCTGAGCCGATTTATAATTTTGGCGGCGAATCCTGCTTTTTTGGTGTATCCTCCGCACACCATTAGAAATTCACTTCCTTTCCTTCGCTCACTTCTCTCCCGGTCTCCAGACTTCTTGCAGCCGAGTCACAAAGTTTTGTGGAGAACTCCGCCCACCTTGGAAATGCCCGCCCACCAACAGCAGTTGGGCTCCACTCCTTCACCCACCTCTATCCACCTTTTTCCCGGTCTCCGGGACTTCTTGGAACCGAGTTATGAATTTCGTCGCAAACTCCGCCCACTTGGTGTGCGCTCTACCCACCAATAACAGTTAACCTCCCTACTCAGTTCACTTTTTTCTCGGTCTGTGAGATTTCTGAGACCAATAAGAGCAATTAGCGCAACAAAAGAGGGATTACCATATTTGCTACCCTATAAATGCTACGGTTTAGAGATCAATCTTCTTCTTCTCCTTAGCGTTAGTCCCGCGCAGTCGCAGGGTCCGCTGTCTTTATCAGTCGTCGCCACTTCGCTCTGTCCAGGGCATCTTCTGCTGTGGCCGTGACTTCACTTAGGTCCTTCTTGATTACGTCTTTCCACCTCTTCTTTGGGGCTCCTCGCGGTCGCTTGCCTTGCACTTCGAAGTCCATCGCTGTTCTTATCGGATGGTCCTGTGGCCTCCTTAGCACATGCCCATACCATCGCAGACGCTGTTCCCGTACCTTCAGGGGCAGTCTGCATGACCACTCTGACATCCTCGTTCTCATGGCTGAGTCATAAGTAATTGTCGATTTGACAAAATTTTTAGAGAGTTCACAACATCCTTTTGAACCACCCTGGTTAAGGGCCGTATTTAACACAATTGACCGTAAGTGAATGAATATCTTTCCCACAAAACTACGCAACCTTCGACGTCAAGAATCAGTGGATGTCTGTTTTGAGGTGGTCGCCGATCATCGTAGTTTTTCTCGTTAAGGAAACGAGCAAGCAAGCGGAGCAACTGGTGTTGGTTGCTATACCTCAGTGGATTACAAAGACGGGGAGTCATGAGGCCAAGTTTCTGTATAGTATTCTGGCATTCTCTCGATACATGTGGGTTGCGAGCTGCGGCGCAGTGGAACAATTTCATGTATTGGAAGCCTCAACTTTGCGATATCCAAACAAGTTTATCCAGCTGTAAGCAGTAGGTGTCTGCGCCAGCAGTGGTGGTATTGTTTGAAGTCTGTGATGAAGCAATCCTACAATCGGAGAGCGGAACCTACTCCGGGGGGCTCGTTGCCGCTGCTGAGCTGCACGTTCCCACTGATGCCTCCGTAGTTTGCTTAGGTATACTGCGCACTCCTCAACCTCAGTGACCCCTCAACCTCAGTGACCCCTTGTCAAGCCGACCGAAACAAGGGCTTTTGTGGAGCAAGTGTTGGGAGATGTTCACATGTGTTCTCCGAACCAGCTCGTCTAACTCGAGAGAATTCCAACTTCCCAGCGAACGTGTACAATTTCTCCATTTCACGGAGGGCACAAGACATGGTGTAGAAAGGACGGAACGTTTGCTGCACTTCGACGGCCACTGATGCGTATTGCCTTCAGGAAGCTCTTGCATGCGTTCAATATCTACGGCCATTGGGTGTCCAAAACATGGTCGGTCTTCAGGGTTATAGTCGCCCTGGCGAAGCTTCCCGAACCACTTTCAATAGATATTCTCATTAGCGAGTCTGGTCCTCCAGATACACAAATATTCCGACAGGCTCCTCTTGCTGAGTGCCCCAGGCGGAACTCGTAAAATAGACAGTGACGAACATGTGTTGAAGAGAACGGCATTATTTCTCCCAAAAGACGAGTACTGACGGTCAAATTTCGTAATATGAAAGGACACTTAGGTCGCCACATACTGCTCTGCGCAGAACAACACAAACGTTTTCTGAGAAAAATGGCGTGAGTCTGTTATAACTCAGCCTTACAAATAACATCGTCATTCCATGATCCGTGGTGCACCACATGGAGCTCAAACCATTGAGCTCATGGTTCCCATATCAAATTCTTCTTGTGTCGCTAGTGCAGAAACCTACCATGGCAGAAACCTATTTTGATAGAGTGAAATATGTTCTACAATTTTCATTGGGAGTACAGGGTGGCTACTAAATATTGGCGCATGGTTTATTGATCATATTTCCAAAAAGAGAAGCTATCATATCTTCAGAAGTTTATTTTTTATATACAATAAAACATGAAAATTCATTACCAAAGAAAGTGCTCGAGATGGCCTCCTTTGGTAGCGATACAGGCTTGAAGTCTCTTTTCAACTGACATCACCGTGGGCCGCAAGTAGCTGACGTCGGCGTGACGTGAGTAGATCTTCAGACCAGAAGTGGCGCACGATTTGCAAAACGACAGGCAGTTGTTGGATCTGGCTAGCAGACATTCTGCTCGACCTTGTGTACACACAAGGAAGCGTTTTTCAAATTGTTTGGTGGTTGGGCAGGATTACTTCTGAAACCATGACACCGCTTGTCTTTGTGGATGAATACATCAAAGCCAGCGCCCAGATCTACCGGAAACAATTTTCACGTGATGCCCTTCTTTCCAAGGACTCTTTTGACCTTCAGCGAACGTCATTGCATTCTTCAGCAAGACAGGGCGCCTCCACATGCCGCAAAATCAATGTTGGAGAACTGTGACCGTCATTTTCCAAGTTACCGGGCACAAAATGTTTGGCCATCTAAGTCGCCCGATTTGAACCAATTGATTTGGCGGTGTGGGCTTCTTGAAGCAGAAGATGCCTTCTGAGCAACGTCGAAGTTTGGACTCCCTGAAGGCTTCCTTGGAGGAGGCGTGGAAGGAGCTTGACGTCAGCTACTTGCGGCCCACAGTGATGTCAGTTGAAGAGATTTGAAGCCTGTATCGCTGCCGAAGAAGGCCATTTCGAGCACTTTCTTCAGCAATGTACTGCCATGTTATAAGGTATATAAAGATAAACCTCTGAAGATGTAAAAGCTTCTCGTTTTAAAAATATGGTCACAAATCCATGCGCCAATACATTATTTAGTATCCACCCTCTATTTTGTATGAATCGAGCAGGTGTAATCAATGTTTTTTTGAAGGAGGTTTACGATGAGAACGAAGGTCAAAGAAGGGGGATATTGCATAGTTGGTAGACAGGAGGATCTCCTAAGGGTGCTGACCCACGCGCAATTGGCAGCGAAATTATTGACTCTGCGATACAGCACGGATCACTCTTGGTGCGGTTGGAGGGGTACGCCCACCAACTATCTGATCTCTCGTCGCAGGTTTATGCGTAGCGAGTGGTCAGAAAAACGAAGAGAGCGTAATGTTGAAGAG